CTGCATATGTTTCATGTGGTGTAATTCCTCCAGCAGTTAATTAAATTATTTTGCATATGCTTACAATTTAAATTAAAGCTTCTGGTCTTTTTGATCCTAAGCCTGTGTTCGGTCCTGGTTGTGTAGAATAGCCTCTTCACTAGCAACTACTTCAATATCCCACACCTGCACGGTTAAAGTTTATCTCAAGGGACACCTTAGATCCGTGGTTCTCAACCTTTCTAATGCCTTAACACTTTATTACAGTTTCTAATGTTGTGGTGATCCCCAACAATAAGATTATTTTTGTTGCTACTTCATAACTGTAATTTTGCTACTGTTACTAATTGTAATGTAAATATCTGTGTTTTTCGATGGTCTTAGGCAACTCTGCTAGCGGTTCTCAACCTGTGGGTTGCAACAATATGATGTCTGCTAGCAGAGTTCTCAAACATTAGAAAAGTTGTGGTCTAGGTTTATAGATGTGTCATTTAAAAAGAGGTTTTGTGAGTGGGAGAAAGTCAATAAAAAATATTTCCCCATCAAGACAATGCTGCCACCAAAACCAGATAAAGATAACACAATGAAAGAGAATTACAGGCCAATATCCTTCATGACCATAGATGCCAAAATCCTCAACAAAATTCTAGCAAATCAAATTTAGCATTACAACAGAAAGATCATACACCATGACAGAGTAGGATTTATCCTGGGGATGTGAGGATGGTACGATGCCATCAAATTAATAAACATGATACATCCCATAAACAAAATGAGAGATAAAAATCACAGTCATATCAATTGATGCAGAAAAAGTATTTGACAAAAATCCAACATCCTTTCTTGATAAAAATGCTCAGGAAAATGAGAATAGAGGGATTATACCTCAACATAATGAAAGCCTTATATGACAAATCTACAGCAAACATCATAATCAATGAGCAAAAACTAAAACCATTTCCCCTAAGAAGAGGAACGAGATAGGGATGCCCATTTTCACCACTCCTGTTCAACATACTACTGGAAGTGCTAGCCATAGCAATTAGACAAAAAGAAGAAATAAAAGGCATCCAAATTGGAAAAGAAGAAGTAAAGCTGTCATTATTCAAAAATGGCATGATACTGTACAGAGAAAACCCTAAAGACTCTATCAAAAATTATTAGACTTAATATGTAAATTTGGCAATATATCAGGATACAAAATTATTGCCAAGAAATCTAGGGCATTTTTATACACCAAAAGTGAACTTACAGAAAGAGAGATTAAAAAAAAATCCTATCTGCCATCGCACCAAAAAAATTACCTAAGAATAAACTTTACTAAAGAGGTAAAATACTCATACTCAGAAAACTACAGGACATTGAAAAAAAGAGATAGAGGAAGACATAAACAGCTGGAAGAACATACCCTGTTGATGGACTGCTAGAATCAACATCATTAAATGTCCATACTATAAACCAATCTATAGATTCAATGTACTGCCCATTAAAATACCAATAGCATATTTCACAGACCTAAAACAAACTCTCCAAAAATTGATCTGGAATAAAAAAAGATCCTGAATAGCTGCAGCAATTTTGAGGAAAAAAAAAATAGAAGGGATCGAAATACCAGATATCAAGTTGTATTCAAAGGCACTATTCTTAAAACTGCCTGGTACTGGCATAAGAACAGACATATAGACCAGTGGAATAGAATAAAGACCCCAGAAATTGACCCAAACCACTGTGTTCAATTAATATTGACAAAGGAGGCAAGAACATACAATGGAGTTAAGACAGTCTCTTCAATAAATGGTATTGGGAAAATTGGACAGATTCATGCAAAAAAATGAAACTAGAACACCAACTTATAACATACACAAAAATAAACTAAAAATTGATAAAGGACTTAAACATAACACAGAAAACCATAAAAATACTAGAGGAATCCACAGGCAGCAAAATCTCAGACATATGCCAAAGAAATTCTTCACTGATACCACCCTTAGGGCAATGGAAGCTAAAGAGAAAATAAACAAATGAGACTACATCAAAATAAAAAGCTTTTTTACAGCAAAAGAAACCATCAACAAAACAACAAGAAATCCACTGCATGGGAGAACATATTTCACAATATTATAAGGGCTTAATCTCCAACATTTACAGGGAACTCATACAACTTAACAAAAATAAAATAAACAATCCAATAAAAAAAATAATGGGCAAGGGACCTAAATAGATACTTTTTGAAAGAGGACATAAGGAAGGCCAAGAGACATATGAAAACTTATTCAAAGTCACTAATCATCTGAGAGATGCAAATCAAAATGGCAATGCAGTACCATCTCACACTTGTCAGGATGGCTATCATCAAGAAATCAACAAACAACAAATGTTGGCGAGGATGCGGAGAAAAAGGAACCCTCGTGCACTGCTGGTGGGAATGCAGACTGGTGCAGCCACTGTGGAGAACAGTATGGAATTTCCTCAAAAAACTAAAAATGGAACTGCCATTTGACCCAGTGATCCTGCTTCTAGGAATATATCCCAAGAAACTAGGAGCACCAATCAGAAAGGTATATGCACCCCTATGCTCGTAACTGCATAATTTACCATAGCTAAGATTTGGAAACAGCCTAAGTGCCCATCAGCAGATGAGTGGATTAGAAAACTGTGGTATATCTACACAATGGAATACTATGCTGTAGTAAAAAAGAAGGAATTCCTATCTTTTGCAACAGTATGGATGCAACTATGGATGCATTATGCTAAGCTCAGAGAAAGTCAGAGAAAGATAAATATCACATGATCTTATTCATCTATGGAATATAATGAACAACATAAACTGATGAACAAAAACATCCAGAGACAGAGAAGCATTGATCAGACTGTCAAACATCAGAGGGAAGGTAGAGGAGGGTGTGGTAAGGGGGAGAGATCAACCAAAGGACTTGTATGCATGCATATAAGCTGAACCAATGGACACAGACAACAAGGGAGTGAGGGCATAAGGGGGGAATTAGGAGGTAATGGGGAGGATGAGAACACATATGTAATACCTTAATCAATAAAGAAAGTTAAAAAAAGCAACAACAATAACAAACAAACACGGATAAGGACACATACATGATACCTTAACAATAAAGAAAAAAAAGTCAATGCTGTGCATGCTATTGAATATTCTAAATAGAACCTACTATATAAAAATCAATGTTTCAAAATAAATAAAAGATATATTCTCTTTTAAAAATATTCAAACATAGTTTTTAAACATGCAAATTCTTTAGCACATTTAAATAAAGTTTTACTGTTTAAATTTTTTATTTTCCAGGTGTTTTCAGAAACTTGCCTATTGAATACAATCAAAGTTTGCTCAGAGGGCTAGATTATGATCATTGGCTCCCCTGAAAGCCTACTTTAGGCTCCATTTTGAGAGTCAATATGATGTTCAGGTAAAAATTAAAATATGTAAAAAGAAGCACTTTGAAAATTCTAAAGCACTAGCTAATGCTAGACATTATAAATATTAAATATAAAATCTTGAGTATGATGCCTATTTGCTTAAAAGTAATAGGGAGAAAAAGGATGATAAATGAAGTAATACTTATAAGTAGGTAATATTTGCAATTGGGTGGTTCATATATAGTAGTCCATTACACCATTTTCCTCTTTTCAATATGTTTGAAATTTTGTGTAATAAAAAGTTTAAAAGCAAACACTTACAAATCTGAACCATAATCCCTTCTTCATATTGTAGGTGAGAAAGAACAGTCCAAAGAAGTTAAGTGACTTTCTTGAAACCAAACAGGTAGCTACAGAGCCAGAAGCCAAAATTCTGAACTCCCAGTCTGGGTTCTTTCTATGCTTCCACATATGGGGCCTCAGGCAGAAATGGATTCCTCTAGCCACTTTCCTGAATATCCCTGAGTCCTTAAGTCTCTCAGGTGTATCCAGAAGCACGCTCAGAAGAGGTAGGGTGCTGGACAGATCTGGAGCTAGAAACAGCAGAGTTGGGGCCAGAGCCAGAAGGCTCTGGGCACTTGCCAAATTGAGCAGAAGCCAGGAGAAGTGGGGAATTTCTCCCTTTGTCTGATTTGTCACTGACACCTGAATCGAGTGCTAGAGAACCTGATCTTGGTCTCAGAGACATGTTTATTCTGTCCTCAAACCAACCCAACTTTTTCAAACTACCTTCCTACTTCTAAAACACCACAACTCTGGACCAGGAGATTCTGGGTTTCCAGGTAGTCATAGAAGTGGATTGGAGGTGGCTATTACCCACCCTAATTGTGGGGGAGAGAAGAGGGATTCTAGAGAGTGGAACTAGAAATGTAGAGATGTCTCCTCCTCAGCAAGTAAGATCCATGACTATGAAAGGATACAGATGCAGTGTGGAAACCAGGCCTGTGCTAAGCCCCCTAAGCTAGGTAGGTAGGAAAACAAGAAGTCTGAGGTTCCCTGGTGAGCCGAAGAGAGCTATCTGTGTGCTAAAGTCCTTCTGATTGACTGCTAAAACAACAACAACAACAACAACAAAAAACTGGGGAGTTGGCGTGGGTTCCAAGTGCTGGGAAGCTGAGCAAGCTCAAATTGTAAGTGTCCCAAACCCAAGCCAGATTGTGGAAACAAGAAAAGAGAACTAGCCCAAGTTTGGAGTGACTATGATGCACTAAGTCCCCTGTCACAGTCTGGGACAATGACATTCGTGGTTGGTTGGGTGTAGTGAGCTGACTGCACCCACTCCCCCAACCACGGGCCCACCAATCTGGAATCTTGGACTGCTCCTTCTCCCTTCATTCTGGTCCCTGAGCTGTCCATTTGGGGCTCTCTCAGAATTTCCTCTGTCCTGCCCTATGCTCCCTATGTACTCTCCCACTTCTCTCATGTGCACAAAGCTCCATTGGTCCCATCACCCTGAATTGACACCCCAGGAGACTTCAAACTCTACTGATCCAAAGTTATGGATCTGATAGCCGCCACATAGATATGGCCCTAGGCTGGGTGCCTGGCCCTCCCCAACTCCTGCGCTGCAGGCTCACCATCTCAGCTGAGCACTTCTCCTGCTCTCCTCCCAGCTGGCCTGCTCACCCCAACTGTTCCAGATACAGCCGTGTCCGCTGTTGTGACACACTGGGCAGGTGGGGGCTGGGGACAGGCTTGCTTATCCAGCAGCTTCTCTTCAGCATCACAGTGCTCAGGGAGGGGAGGAACCCAGGCAGGTCACAGTGGCTCCTCCCGCCACTCCCTCCTCTCCCCCACCCCCACACTCACACGTACCCTTCTCCCCTCCCCTCACACGAGGCCCCACCCAGCTTCTCCGTGAAGCTTGTGCCTGCTGGGAGCTCTGGGAACTGCGCTGTTGGATTCCGTGGCACTGAGCAAGGGAGCAGTCCTATTACTAAAGAGCACTCCTTCATAATGGGATATAGGCAATTATTATCCAAGCTTCTTGGAAAGAAATGTGAAAACTCACTTCCCAAACTTTCATTCTCTTCCTGTTGTCACCAGGAAGAGCTGGCCCAGGCAAGGGTTTAATTGAGAACATTCGCCCTCAAACCAGATGAGTTAGAGAAATGATGGAGATGATTCAGAACTCACTAATGAGGAGCAGGCTCCATGCTCAGCTCTTCTGCTGCTGCTGCTGCTGCTGCTGCTGCTGCTGCTGCTGCTGCTCAGGAGGGCTTGAGCATGTTGCTGCACCTGTACTCTGGAAACCGATGTCTACTCACATCAAGGTCTACCTTCTCACTGGAGAGTTAAATGAGGTAACATCTATAATAATAGAAGCATAATATGCTAATTAGACTGGACTGTTCCTCTGGATGTCCTTCCAGAAGACCTTCCGGATGAATCTGGGGCTGCAAGGGAAGCCCTAGTCCCGGTTGACTGCCAGCAGCCAGAGGAAAGCCTGGGTCCTGGGTGCCAGAGAGAAGCCAGTGCTGGCGGCTGTAGGAAGGAAAGCCTATTTGTGCGTGAATGTCGTTCATCAGGCCTCTAGTTGTTTTTGTTTCTACCATTCTATCAGGGTACATCACCCCACCACCACCACCACTATTTTCAAATCTGTTTCTTAATCCATTTATCATCACTCCCTCTTCTTACTTTTACACCCAGAAAATATAGAATGATATCAGAGGTCTGGCTGCCTCTTTGCCTAGTAAAAGGAGTGTTTCTCCTGGTCACAAATGACACTAAATAGCAAGGGATTTCCCCTACCCTCCCTCTAGTTGAGAGGGGTGGGAGAACAAGAGCTGGCCTAGGAAAGAGCCCCTCTGTTCACACTTGTAATTTTGATCACTGTATTGAACCTCCCTCTACTTTCCCTCTCCTTCCCCTAGTGTAGTCATGGGCTGAATGATGATCAGTCCTAGGTCTCATTGCAAAACTGATCATCAATGTGTGTCCCAGCTCCTATCTTCTCTCCCAACTTTATCAGGCACCTGACCACCAACCACCAAGTCACTCCAGGCAAATCTGGCTTTTCTGCAAGATATTACTACATAGAACTTCTCTGACCAAATACGGTGACTCTCCAAGTTTCCAAGCACAGATACAGATTTATTTGCCTTGACATTCCTAAGATAATTCTCTGGCCAGTAGAGAATGAGGCCTTCCTTCCTTCCTTCCTTCCTTCCTTCCTTCCTTCCTTCCTTCCTTCCTTCCTTCCTTCCTTCCTTCCTTCCATTTTCCTGTTGCAATTTGTTCTGCTGACCATCATTCATATATTTTCCTATTTATACTACTAGAGGCCTGGTGCACAAAATGTTCACTTCTTTTTGGTTTTTAAGTCATCTGCCTTATAATTATTTGACTGTGGCAACCCCAAAATCATTAATAACTTTCCCTATCACCCTCCATCCTATGCCTTTCTCCCTGAGTTGAAATTTTGAAAGAAGGAAGAACATACATTTTTGGGTCCCTATGAAGGTTAATTTTATGTGTCAACTTACTGAGCCATTGGATACTCAGACATTTGGTCAAACATTATTCTGGGTGTGTCTGTGAGGGTGTTTCTGGGTGATATTAATATTTGAATCAATAAACTGAATAAAGCAGCTTGTCCTCCTCAGTGTGTGGACTTTATCCAATTAACTGAAGATCTGAGTAGAATAAAAAGGCTGAGTAAGAGAAAAGGGTTGTCTGCTTGACTATTGAGCTGGGACATAAGTCTTTTCCTGCCCTTGGACTAGACTTTAACCATCCACTCTCCTGAGTTTCCAGCTTGCTGACTACAGATTTTAGGATGTTTCAGTCTCCATGATCATGTGAGCCAATTCCATATAATAAATAATTAGTTGTTATAGTTATAATAAATATTTATATAAAGAAAAATATATATATATATGATATATTTATATCCAAAAGATTTGTATGGGATGGAGTGGCATTGTAGGAAAGATAAGACAATAAGATAGTTTGGTCATTCCTTTTTCTCCAAGGCTTTGGTATTTTCACCAGAACTGTTCCATACTGGGGGCTGGCCCTGCACCAGCAGGGTCCAATATCTCCAGGCTCTTGACTTTCTCAGGAAAGAATTCAAGAACATGTCTGAGTGAGAGTTCAAGTGAGAGTAAAATTTTTTTTTTTTTGAGAAAGAGACATAGAGGCTAGGATGCTCTGCTGAGAAAGAAGCAAAAGTACAGGTCTAAGTGGAGGCAGGCAAACTTGCCAGTGAGTTGCACAAATGAACAGTCAGTTCTTGGGATTTCCTATTTCCAAGGGTAGACTTTTTTTTTTCTGAACTTTGTGGCACAAAATTCTGATTTTGCCTTCCTAATACGGCTTGATTGGGAAATGTCATAGCATTGGTCCCCTCACCCCCTTCTATTTATGGTATTGGTTTTTTAAAGAAATATTTTTATTGATTTTTTACAGAGAGGAAGGGAGAGGGATAGAGAGCTAAAAACATCGATCAGAGACATACATCGACCAGCTGCCTCCTGCACACCCCCTACTGGGATGTGCCCGCAACCAAGATACACGCCCTTGACCGGAATCGAACCTGGGACCTTTCAGTCCACAGGTTGACGCTCTATTCACTGAGCCAAACCAGTTTCGGCTATGGTATCAGTTTTAATTACAATGATAGTATAATGATCTTTGGGATCAGTCTCTGGTCAATTTTCTCTCCATTGTGGATGAAACTGATTTTAGCCAGTCCTTATTGTTGTTGACTTCTGTGACACCACATGAGTTTCCTGCCATAAACTATTTTCCATTTGATCATAAGTGGATGTTGGGGCTCTGACAAGAGGACCTATTGGTTTACTGGACTGTGATGTCTGATCCTACGTTACAATTGTTAGGAGGTTTCCTAATCTGCCTCAGTATCCTGTACATAGCTAATTTCTCAGTTGTATAATTCCCTCCTGTCAGACAATGAAACTATATTCTATTTCTCTGGAAAGTCCAGACAAATACAGTCCCCTTTTTGCAGGTGAAGAAACTGAAGTCAAATTCAGGCTATGTAGGGAAAAGCAACCTCCCATAAAGTATGATTTAGGCCTTGTAAAGAAATTACTTCATCTTTACCACATCCCAGTTTACTACTGATCAGAAGCCAGTGCTGAAGCCCTTACCCTCATTGCATCTAAGGCTCTGTTACAGACCAGGTAACCGCCTTCTTTAGCTGCCAGTCCCTGAAAATGCACCAAAAGATCTGTGTGGGATAAAATGGCATCATAAGAAAGATAAAGCCATCACTTCTCTCTGAGGCCTTGATGTTCTGCATATAGTTTTTCACTTGTTATACATTCCCTCCTATCAGACACTAAAATAACTCACTGAATTTATTCATATTCATTATCTCTCTCTCTCTCTCTCTCTCTCTCTCTCTCTCTCTTTCTCTCTCTCTCAGTTATTTCACTTATTGCTATGGGTACTGCAAAGTGTTCCAATTTTTCTGAACTATACCCATGCAAGATGTTAAAAGAGTTAGAAAACTATTCTCACCATTGATGAAAATAGCCCACAAGGAAAATACTAGTACTGTTTCATAGCATTTTCATATACAATCTGTTTAGAGCTGTTATTCATATTAGCAAAATGTTGAAAAGAACTGGATTAGTCAACATATTTAATAGGAAGGAATACTACATAAATAATAATATATAAGGATTGGGGACAAGATGGTGACCGAACAGATGGACTTGCTCTGACCCTGGTACCAGAACAGATAGAAGCAGCATCTGAGTTGCTTAGGGAATGTTGATTGGCAGCTAAGGGGCAGCGGAACTCTAAAAGAAGGTAAGGAAGGGTCTGCTGGACAAGATTTCCTGACCAAGCAGCCAGCACTTCGGCGGTGGAGATCTCTCGGAGCTATGGGCTCAGGGGGAAGGCTGCGCCATCTTATCAGGAAAGGAGGATCTTCTCTGAGGCCTGAAAAACCCACAGCAGAGGAGTCCATCGAGCAGCTGTGACGCCCCAATCGGCGCAAACACATGGATTCAAGGGAGTTCTTCACTCACCCACGGAAAGGTCAGAGTTTGCGAGGATAGCGTGAGGGTTCTGGGTCCGCGCTGCGCTGGCAGTGACTGTAGCCTTGGCGCTCCCGAACGCCCCGCTGCGACTGTAGCTGCGGAGCGTCAGAGCGCCCCCCCCCCCCCACACCTAGCTGTGCCGAAAGAAAGCGGCAGCTGCAGCGAGAATCCTGCCCAGCGAGATCCAGTGCTGGGTTTGGCGTAATCTTCCTCAGAAGAGAGACTTTTTTAAAACGCCAAGGGACACGGGACAGATTGCTAAGAATCCGGGCTGTCCCTCCAAGGGCAGGACATCTGGACACCTTGGCGCCTGATCCCCCTTCACCCCCTTGCTTCTGAATACTAGGGAAGGACTGTCCAGTTGGGCATATCCTGGGAGATTTCAGGGGGAAATTGCCTTCCTGAAAACGGGGGATCAGAGCCAGAAGAGATAGTCTGGGAGACAGCAGGAACTCTGGCAGTTAGAGCCATAGAGAAAGAAGGCCAGAGCAACCAAAAAGACTGGGAGGTCAAACCAGAAACACTGCCACCTAGGGGCTGAATTACAAACTGCCTTAATTTTT